GGTGGCGCCTGCGCTTTTCCCGCGGCGTGTCGCTGTGAACCTTCCGCCCCGCGTCCCTCGGGATCCGCCACCTCCGTCGCCTCTCGCCGCAAACCCGGGCACGCCAGCCCCTGCTCTTCCTGCCGCTGAATGCGCCGGGGAGCAGGGTGGCTCTGCCTTCTCGGTGTGTCGCGGGACGACGGCGGCGGGCACGTGGATGGTGGTGGTAATAATTGCTGTACAATCCATGTCGGTAATTAATTGCTGTAATCCATGTCGGTAATTGCTGTAATCCGCACAGAGCGTTGGCCTGCGTGCAGAGGCGCGAGGCTGACTTCTGCACATGTTTGCACCCACAGATGGCTAACTGGCGAGGTCTGCCTGCGGCATAAGGCCGTATGCCCTGGGGTGGCAAGTGGCTACAAGCAAGGCTGGCTGGAAAGCTTTTGTTTCAGAAAGAAAGAGTGCTGGCCAGGACTCTCCTTCAAAAAGTCACATCTCTTTACCATTGCAGTCTGCTCCCTGCCGGCAGCCATCCCTTTGAGAGGATCCCAGACATCCCCACATTCCCCAAGGTTTCTGGCGGCCATGCTTACTTCCTCCTGCACGTACGAGTAGTTAAATATTTCTCGAGCAACTTCCATAAACTAAGAACTTGCTGTTCTTCATGCTACTGTGTAAACTACAGGGGCACGGTATCATGTGCTTCCCTTGCTGTTCTGTAACGCCTTAGCAGTCAAGAAGTGGGATCTTAAAGGCTGGTAGATTTGTACAGATGGAAGGAAGTATGAGACAATATGGAAGGTAAGGTAAGAAGCAGGGATGTCGCATTTGAAAAAAGCAGGGTGGGTTTGGCATTCCAACTACTGCAGGTATGCTAGGAGAGCCTTGATGTAGATACAGATTTTCTGGCCAAAACGTTTAAAAGAATGCCTGGGTAATATTTTACTGACCTGTCTTTTTTAATATCCAGGACTATACCGGAAAAGTCAAGCAGACCACTAAGGAAGATGGCGGTGCGAAATGCGTGGAGCTGTCTAGAAGGCTCTCCGTTAGCGGGGCTGACCGTTCTATTGCTGAGACAAAAGTGTGGTAAAATGCTCCAGTTTTTAACAGTACTTGTCCAAAAAGAGTAATGTATTCCTTTTATTTATACAGCTTTAGAGGCCTATGGATTTTTTTTTTGAGGTTGTTAAGGGCAGTAAGGCTTACCCGTTTATTTGCTGGCATCATCCCTGTTGAAAAGCAGAGGGCAAGAAGGTTGTGCCATCTGTTACTAATTTGCATCCCAGTTCTGACAGCCGCACTGGACTGCTGCAGGATGGTTGAGCTCCTGATGAAACAGCTCTGTTCCAGCCTTCCCGTTTTAACTCTCATCCAGTCCTCTTCCTTCTACAGCCTCATCCAGAATGAGCCGAGTCATTCTGGCCAAAAATCTTGGGTGGAGGAGGTGGTAAAAGAGGGAATTCTTTGTGTGTCTTAAGGTCAAGGCAGGGCAGATCTATAAACTGGGGAATTACTAAATGAAAAGTTAATTCTGTCTATCAGCATGTAGTAAAGATAGGCACTTTCATTTCCATTCCAGTAACTGCTTTCAGCTCCTTAGGAATTAAATGAATTAAATAGTAAGGAATTAGCATTCTACTTTGCTTTTCTCTATATAGCATTTAGTCGAAATATAGCTAGGAAAATGGCATATGTAATAATGTCTGCATGGCTCTAGATAGGGTTTATTAGGTTCAGCACAGCTGAAAATCTATTTCAGAAGTACATATTGGAAAGAAAATTAAATACATCTCCAAGGTTTGTATTTTTTAGTGCAGCTGCTCATGTGGTGTACTCTGAAAGCATGAGTATCGAAGCTAATCGTGACACAAAGCAAACAGAACAGGTTTGACCTTTCTTAATGTAATGCCTTCGCTTTGCATGCAGAGACCCTTCATCTCTTCTGAGACCAGAAAGAACTGAGCTGGCGCTTCAGTTTCATTCTTTTTCTTCCCTAATCGGCTAGTCTAGGTTTGAGTGAAACGATGTTCTTTTGAAAGATTTAGGCTTAATTCTGCCTCACGCAATCCAGCAAGAACCATCAGCTTTTGGAAATGCCCATCCAATTTCACTATTTAAAAAAACTGTTTTCTAGAACAGCCACTAATACCTCTATATGCTACAGTGTATGGTACACCCAAGTAATCTTCAGCAGTACAGGTTTTTAATTCACTTAGCTTTTTTGTGCTGGCTGAATATCTGTACGGCCTGCTACTTTGGATGAAGTCGCAAAACAGGATGCATAAAGTATTGTGTTCTTCTTCTGATACATGATTATCTTTTTTTCCTACACAGAATATGAGCCACTACATTTTGGGAGGTTTTTACAGCATTTTGCAACTACATGTTTCAAAGAAGGTCCTGTCCATTTGATACTAAAGTAACAAGTTTAATAAAGCAATAGTTGCAACATCTGGAAATAAAAATATTTTATTGATCCCCGTATGTAGACTACATTATAATTTAGATAAACTTTCAGCAGTAACTGCCATCTTAATGCTTATGTCTGATTTGGGCACCCTTTTTTATTTTTGAGGTTCCAGTTTAAGTGATTCTTTTCTGGAATGATAATGGGAAAACATGCGAATCATTTGAAAAAAAATTACTTCACTGATTTTGTAGAGCAATAGTTTTTTTCTCTGACCAGATTAAACACTACAAATTCAGCAGAGGTAGCTTTTTTCTGTTTGCTTGCTTCAAACAAAGTATTTGTCTTTTGCTGTTCTTGAGGAATATTTTTTTATATGGCAAATTAGCTACCCTATGTAAATAAAATTAATTCACTAGTTATTAGAAAACTTCCTAAAATTTGTAGACGGGATCTCTGGAGATTGGATGTATACTGTACCTGGGATTTCTTCTGCATCTGGTGCTCCTGGCTACTTTGAAATACAAAACAAGAAGGGGGAAGAAAGGTTTGTACTCTGGAGGCAGAGACTACCCAACTCCGTGAAGAAAAGGTCTGTAACTTTGATCTCAAGTCTATTTATAGGAAGCCAGAGAGCAAGGTGAAAGAAGTGTTGCAGAAATGTGTTCTTTTTGTCTGAGATACCCCATGATCCAATTTGCCTCATGTAGGGTCCAGCTGTCAAACAGTTAGAAAGGCCTAGGCTCTGCTTTTGTTTCTCTGATTTTTTTATTTTTTTTTTTGTTACAATGAGCAGTGATTAAGAGACAGCTCCATTGAACAAATCATTTCCTCGTTAAACTTAACAAGACATGTTTTCTATATCAAAATGGTCTTCTCCTTTGACAAAGCATCACAGCTTCTTACCAAAGCACTATTCAACTTTGGAAAGGTGAAGTATCATGACAGTGAAATCAATACTAGATGTAATTGAGACTATATGCCCATTTACTGAAATCTCTTTCAAAAGGTCATTATGGTTAGTTTACTGTATAGTCATCTCTTGCAATCCCTTGCCATTTAAACATTGTACCCCTGTACTACTAAAAGTGGAAGTTATTCTGACATTTCAAAATTTTTATTAAGCTACATTACTCTTTCCTAGACGATACCAATTTGAACAAATTTTAATAAAGGTTGATGACATATTTTATGCCTACATGGCCATATGCATACTGAACTGGATTAGCATCCTGATTTCAGGCAAAGACAGGGTCCAGGGTCCTGTGTTAAAAAGGAAAATTCGTCATGAAACAAAAAACTGAAAAAAAAAACAGAAAAGAATTGCAGGTTTTATTCCAGGAAAGAATTTGGTTTTCTTATGGAAGGAAAAAAAGCCTTTTTTGTAGGTCACAACACTGACTGCAGCACTACTGTGTTAGATTGAGTTAGGTGTAGGTATAGCTGTGCAATCATCTCACTTCCACTCTGGTCTATCAAAGGAGCATTGGATCAATCAGTCTTTATGTGAAAGGAAGCAGCTTCTTAAAACTTGCTTATGTTATATTCTACTACTTGTATTTGATTAGTTTTACCACTAAAGCCTATGTTTTCCTCTTATTGGGGACGGGGTTAGCCATATTGCCTAATTGTCTATTAAAATCCACTCATATTAAGTAAGAGCAGTTACAGCATTCCAACATTCTGTCTTAGTTTACAATTTGATGATAAATTTTCTTGCCAGAATTGCTACTTTCTGTATACAAGCCTTTTAATCCTCTCTAGTCCTTGAAGACAAGCTAAATGATTTTAAATTCTCTCTCCCCATTTTGTGCTTTCAGCCAGAGAAGTCAAAGGAAGGCAATGTGTTCTTTACAAATTTTGTTTACATTTCAGAAGTGGCCAAATGAAACTTAATTGAGACTATACAGCCAATTCCAATTCATGGAAAATTTCAGTTTGAGAAGGAATAAATATAAATGAGTAAAAGATTTACAACATAGGAGTTCATCACAGATACACCTACAAAACTATAATGTTAAAAGCAAACCGAGAACACTACGTCACAGCTAAGTATATTTTGGGTTACAATGAACAATGTTCCGAAATGGGTATTTTTACTCATTTGCTTGGACTAGAAGGACCATAACTAAAGCTGTAGTTGTGGAAGTCCTGGCCAAAGAATTATGGCAATTTGTGTTATTACTTCCTCTCACAGGAAGCTATTGGAAGTTACCTCACCAACTTCATCCACTTCAGTACAAAGTTAACCAGGTAAGCAGTAGTGGGCTTCCCTGGCAGAACAGGAATGACTTCAACTTCCACAACTATCTGTGCACTTAATGTCCGATTGCGGCCAAAGGCCTAAATTGTTCATATGTTACCAAAGACAAAACTGAAAAGTATGTTAGATAAAGCAGCATTCATTTAAAGTGTAAGGCCACTATGAAAGTTAGAAATTAAATACAAATAATTTTCAGTGAATCTGTTAACTACAGAATGTCATTTAAAAAAGAGTAGATATGGTCTTGAACAACTTGAAATTTTACCTGATTATTAAACCACCTGTCAGTTACATGAAGTGTTCTGAAAAGCTTAATACACAAGTTTTTTGGGTATTTCCCATGTAAATTCTTCTCTCCCAAAGTGCCCATAGCATGCTGTTTTTTGATAGATGGGCCTCTTCAAATCCAGCTCCCTTAACAAAAAGAGAAAAAAAAAAAAAAGCAAGTCTTACACTTAACGCTACTTCAATATATATTATGAGTTAGACACATCAGAGGGATAATCAGTATTATCCCTGGAGGATAGGCAATAAAACCTATGTGTTATTTCCTTGCCCAGTCACCCAGATTTACAGCAGGAAAAGGTAGTGAGCTGATGGTTTCAGTTTTGAAGTGACTAGAAACAGCTTTCTTCAAATGTATCAGAGATGTGGTAAGTATGCAGTTAGGCTTTATAAGCATAACAATGCAGAAGCATTACAATTGGAATAAAGTTCAGCCATACCTGTGCAAGCATCAATGTGTTTTCTATTATTGCAAGGGTAATACAGAATATTTTCTAATGCTACTGTGCCAGAAAGACAAGGAAGCAGCCAAAGACGATGATCTAGTAGCCTGAGTAACTGTGGAGGTTTAACTGCTTATATAGGTGCACAAAGTCACTATTTAGAGTAGGGATTAACACTGATTATGACTAGATAAATAATGAAGGTGAAAGTCACGATTATTGCTTTTTAGCCTCCACAATATAGCAGATTGCAGCTGTGCTAAATGGTTAGCCATAGGTATCTGCACAGAAGTTTCTCTCCATTTCATGAAAGGCCTGAAACATTTTCTTCTACTTGGGCTTTTCTCTATTTGGTATTACGTTGGTACTATGATTCATATCATAAGCTGCTGGAGAGAAAATTGGTGGGGGAATGGCAAAGTAAGGAAAGAAGCACAAACACTAACAGGATAACGGGTACGTTTCAGATGGTGAAGAGATTACACATTCTCACATTCACAGGGTCATTTATGATGTACAGCAGCTAAGCCTTGTTTCAAGTAAAATTTTGTGCAACATGATCACATGCTCCACTAGCTATTGCAGTCATTTGTGCTTGACCCTAATACAAAAGCCATCGAAATATGAGTGCTGACTAAATGAAAAGTAGGACATAATTAAGTACTTCCGTGCATAGTTGATCAGAATGGATAACCAGCACCATTTACAGAATTTTAAAGATTGTGAGGTGATGTTTAACAAGGAAATATTCACTAAACAATGCTCATATTTTTTTGCCTGCTTTCTTCCCTTCTTACTGCCTTCACCACTTCCAGGGCTATGATAATGTATTTTAAAAATGCAGCATTTTTGAGCACACCGAATCAAGGAATGGGTCTGGGAACCACCACAGAAATTACTGATGGTGATGAACTGCCATAATGACAAAGGCAAAGATGAATTTTGAGCTGGTAACACTTGGAAAATATCACCTAGCAACAGAAGTTGCCATAACGCCTTGCATTACCTCAGACTATTAAAAATAAAGGTCAGCTCTACTCTCAGGATGTATGTTCAGGAAACATTCTGAAAAGGAGTGCAGAAGGGTGGCCACACCAGCAGAATGTTGATAGAGCTTGTCAGAAATGCCTTTCCTTTTTTAAGGAAAAAAAAGAGACTTCCTCTTCGCTAATATGTTAACACTTCTCCCCTTGGAGTCAAATATGTTTAAGATTCCTCCACAATATAGACACTAGAATGATATTAATAGCTCTGGATTTAAAAGAGAAGTGAATCATTAAAAGCATTTTCCTCAAATAATGAGAGCACTAACATGTATGTGTTAGCATTTTAGAACAGAGGTTTTAAAATCCACATTTCTCAACGTGACAAAGTGGTTCCTCTGTGCATGGAGTCCAGTTCTTGCTGGTATCTATCTCAGGCTTGAGCTCCCTCATCACATAATAAGGGGTGAACTCACAGTGTGGCTGCTCCCTTAAAAGAGGGAAGAGAGAGTGTTTCTATCCATTAGATCCATATTTCATGAAACTTTTAAGAAGTCCAGCCTGTGAAGTTTGGTGAAAATCTGCAAAGACATTCAAAAGTTCTTCAGGACTGAGAAGATAAGCCTGTACCATTATGTCCTAGGAAGCTGTACTGCAAATAGGCAAGAAGCTCTACCTCCTGAAAGTTCACGTAAAGAATCGTATGAGTCAGCCACGAAAGGGAGAAAAAGAATTAAAAATGGTAGGGTGAAATTACAGCTCCCTAGAATGTAGGTGGGTAACTGCTGGTAAAGACAGGTGCTGGTCCGCTTGTCTCCTCCAGCCCTTTCTTCTCTTAAAGAAAAGGGTAATTCCCATGCTTCTTTAAGTGTAAGGATTATATTTGTCTAAAAGACCTGCTTTTTCAGGTCCAGAAATATTCCAGAAAGCATTATAGCTGGGTTGGCTGCAGGAGGCAATGTTTGGGTTTTCTTGTCCTCTCTGACTGCATGGTAGCCTCAGAGACGCTTCTGATCACAAGTGAATTTTCACTTCAAGACAGCTCATCTCGTGGCAGGATTTTTATTCTTGTTCTGTTTTTTAAATACATACACTATTTCAATGCCTCACCAGACCTTAAGAAAGCATTTAAGAAACCTGGATTCCTTTTTAATTAAGTTTAGTTGACTTCAAACAGGCTGCACAAGACTACATGTCAACTAGAGACAGGGTCTCAGTGTTCGGTTTTCCTGATGGAGAAAGTAGGTTACACTTACACCTCTAGAAGCTAGTCACTTAAGGGTGTTCTTTTCTCTTCTGGGCTAATGGCCAATATGCCAAACAGCAACAGCAAACACCATACTGCCACTATTGTGGTAGAGTGACAGTCAGCTTCTCTCCATGAGCAAGGGCAAAGTACAGCACATAACGTCCCACTCATTTCAATGGGATTGCTTGGCAAGTGAGGGCACCAGAACCTTTCCATCTTGTGGCAGCTGTCTCACAAGTTGTTGCCACCTAAAGATTAAAGGCAGAGAGACCATACTTACCCTGGTACTTCTTTCAGAAAGAGCCAATATTTCTGGTGCCTTCTAGATAAGGCAGGGATTGGGAGCCTTACAAACCCTGTAAACAGACTGGAGAAGCCCAACTACGGCTAATGTTAAATTTTAATTCTACTTTACCAAGCACACTCCCACCTGGCTAATGAACTGCAATGTAGCACACTACCAAGGTTACTAGGACTTACAACACAGTATAACTTAGACCAGTCTTGCTCAGTACATTTTGTGACCAGATTTATGAATTGGCCCTTGTATGTTGTACTGGGTGCTTGGGTGAGGGAAGAGCAGAAATGACAGCAATTATAGATTTATGATGAAGGTGACTTTCATGAGGTTAGGAGCCAGAAACTTTAACATCAAACTATTAAAGAAAGCACTAAAAATATTATTCCCTTCGGTAAATACTAATAGCACACAAACCTTATGATAGCTCCAAGGCGTAGATCAAAGTTTTTCTGCACAATCTCAAGCAGTTCTTCTTCAGATCTGTCTGACGTTCCGTAATGAAACACTGAGATCGCAAGAGGATGACTCAGACCGATAGCATATGATAGCTGTAGAACACATGCATACAACCCAAACACAGTTAAAACAATCCTTCCTACCATTTGCTTAAGAGAAATGGAAGGCTTATCTTACGGATCATGTGAATATTTTATGCACATCTTTTCTGCATAAAGAAAGCCAGGATATATGATTTGCCATTTATGTTAGAAAATGACCTGTTTTCCTCAGCCTGGTCAAATATCAGACCTAAGTGACATTCATTAAAAGCAAAAGAGGTACTTTCTAATAATCACCAGATACTGCCATTCTGCATCTTCAGCCTTAGCTAAACACAAGGATTTCATACCTTTGAGACTGGAGACTGTTATCTACAAATATTTCTGTGGGTTTTTTGCTGATTCAGAGAAAAGATTATGTAGGACAAGATGAGAAAAAGCTCCATGTTCCTAAAGCACTCACAGTCTTTGTTTTCCCAGAGTGGGTTATTTCCATGCACTCTCTAGAACTTCATCCAACATTTCTGTGTACTTTTTAAAACACAGCTATGAGAAGCAGACAAAGTAACCCAGGAAGTATTCCCTGTAATTTCACTTCATTCAAAGGAGGACATAGGAGCTCTGTTGCTGCTTTCTGACATCCAAGAATCACATTAGATCACATTAGCTTCTTTTCGCTACAGCACTGCACAGCACAGCACAGCACAGCACAGCACTGACAGGTTCTCCTGAATTGTATTTGCTTTTATTATTCAGTCCCTTTCCAAAATACAGCCCTGCTGCAGTACAGGCTAACATACACTTCATTTTCCTCCATCGTGGTATGTTTGGATGAAAATATGTTTTGCTTGAATGTCACTAAGCAACACAAACCATTCTGTGGCTTTCACTGGCCTTCCTCACTGTGCCTGCTTTATACAGATTTCAGGAAGTATAGTCCAATGGCTCATTTCTATCTATATACTTCTTAGTAACCAAGAATTGTTTTTTATTAGAAACTGCCCTAATCATGACTATCTTTCCCTCAGCTAATTTTGAGATCACACTAAGCCTGTCCTTCATTAACCCAATAAGCTGACAATTCTGCGTCACACATTATCTGTCATCCACTGCATCCTTCCATTATCCATTTTGCCCTTTCAGTATGAAAAGGTGGTTATCATAGAAACAATATCCACAGCAGAGTCAGCTCAATTGTCAGCCTCAGTGGAGGCTGGCAAGGTCTTAGTGGAGCACACAGACACTAATGAGCTGAAAACACACTTGCATTTCCACTGGATACATTTTTCCTTTTGTTAATATTTAACCCAGCCTTTTATGACTTCACAAGACATTTGCTTTTCTGCTGTCCTGTCATCCTCTCTCCCCCCCCATTTTACCTTCATTGCTAATATCTGACAAGTCCCTAGTTTGCTGTTAACAAAATCAATCTTGCCTTGTTTGGAGTCTGGCCCAGGTTTTTAAGGAGCATCTCTGGGGATCACTGGAATAACAACATTCCCACCTAACTCAAGAATTAAGACAGTGATGTATGTGTTCAAAAATGCCACTCAAAATATGCATACCAAGATATCAGAAGTATGTCTTCTGTCCCCTCAGAAAAAAAAATTATCAACAATTTGCTAACCACCATTCCTTGTGCTCAGCTTATTCCTAGTCTTCCTTTTTCTTGACTAACTTCTGAACTTTTAAGTTTAATGAGGTATCAAACACATGTACAACATCTAAAGCAAAGGGCCTTGTTCCTAAGTGGGATATCTGGATACTATGTCACTGATCATAACTACATCCAGCCAGCTTCTCCTCTGGTCCACAGAGAAAGTAAAAGGTTTTAAACACACCTTTGCAGCAAAACATCAGCCAGATCACTGCTAATTTTTACTGTAGTAATTTGTTGTGCTGGGTTAAAGCTATTACATAGCAGCTCCTTGGAATAAATATGTGTGTAAACTAGTACTGCAAGCTGCGTAGACAAATGTCAATTGTTTAGCATTCACGTTGGGTTCATGTTTAATGGTGAAACTGTCCAGGGGTCAATAAAATGCCTGATATGTGTGTAAACTAGTACTGCAAGCTGCGTAGGCAAATGTCAATTGTTTAGCATTCACGTTGTGTTCATGTTTAATGGTGAAACTGTCCAAGGGTCAATAAAATGCCTCTTTTGACTTCTTAGACCTAGTAGTCCCAAAAATTCATGCACGAGGAAGGAAGTGCATTTTTCTGAGCATTATAAGACTGATGAAAGTTGACCTTGTTTTAAACTCCTAAAAACAATTGAATTTTGCTTTCAGTCACACCTTACACCATAGTAGTATGCTAGGAACAGACAGTAGAGAATTCATGGTAGCTATAAGGAAATTTCAAATACAGCTTAAAATGGCTTAAATTACAACTAATATGACCATACAGGACAGCAGGCTGCACAACTACATCTAGACACTGCTAACATAACTGTCTGTAATGTGCTGTGTGGCCCAGGTTGGCTGGGTGTGCATGCATGTGCAGAGGATCACTGGAGCTACCAGAAGTAAAAGCAAGGATGATGCAAAGAAGTAGCTAGACCAGGGATGGCAACAGAGTTGGAGAAAGAATACTACTGAGAATACACTCCTTGTTTCAGGACTGTCCTGGCCTGTGTCTTTGGCTTCCCTCATAGGACTCCTTAATAACACACCCCCACAAGGAACTTTCTGGAGCCCCATTCTAGTACAAGAAATGCTTTTCTGGAACTAGAGTGGTGCTATGTATTCTGAGGGGGTGACCACACATGAGACAGACTTCCTGTTATGGTGTATTACTTTCACAGTTGATCTTACCTGGATTAATACTCTTCTACAGAGACCAGCTTTCACCAGAGATTTTGCAATCCAGCGAGCTGCATATGCTGCAGAACGATCAACTTTGGAGGGATCTTTCCCAGAGAATGCACCTCCACCATGGGCTCCCCAGCCTCCATAGGTATCAACAATGATCTTCCTGCCAGTCAGTCCAGCATCACTCTGCAGGACAAACAATTGAATGCATTCCTGAGACACAACAGTTTACCCAATCCCATACTGGGTTATTGGGTACAGCTTTGTTTTGTATTTGCCAGATATGACTCATTGTTCACAGTGTTCGCCTTCACATGCAATTGTTCAGTGAATGAGGTTTATGTGACTGGAGCGTTTTTCAGAGATGCACTAAGCCATCTGTGCTGTGGTCACTTTTGAAGACTGACAAGAATGTGGCACAACAGTAAACACCACAAGTGTGCTCCCATCAAATCAGCAGCCATGAAACACTGTCTCTGGATTACTGGCCAATGAATTCACTCAGTAACACTTGATGGAGGCCAAGAATTTAGAGAGAGAAAAGCCTTCCTGAAAAACAGACCACATATGACCTAAAAGGTTAACAAGCTTCACTTGGGAAGCCGGGGCTTCATAAAGCTGCAGCTCAGTGCTGCCAGCACAAGAGTACTGAGAAATTCTTGCTGAGTTCACCCTAATGGTTCACTAGTGGCACAAGGACCACTTGGTACCACTTTTCTTTCTTCTTCCTGGCTGCCTGTGCTCCCAGTAATGGAGTCCCACCCTCTTGCATGGACTTTTGTCTGCCTCCTACACCTGATGAGCTGATCCAACTTGTTCAGAAACAATATCCACAGCAGAGTCAGCTCAATTGTCAGCCTCAGTGGAGGCTGGCAAGGTCTTAGTGGAGCACACAGACACTAATGAGCTGAAAACACACTTGCATTTCCACTGGATACATTTTTCCTTTTGTTAATATTTAACCCAGCCTTTTATGACTTCACAAGACATTTGCTTTTCTGCTGTCCTGTCATCCTCTCTCCCCCCCCATTTTACCTTCATTGCTAATATCTGACAAGTCCCTAGTTTGCTGTTAACAAAATCAATCTTGCCTTGTTTGGAGTCTGGCCCAGGTTTTTAAGGAGCATCTCTGGGGATCACTGGAATAACAACATTCCCACCTAACTCAAGAATTAAGACAGTGATGTATGTGTTCAAAAATGCCACTCAAAATATGCATACCAAGATATCAGAAGTATGTCTTCTGTCCCCTCAGAAAAAAAAATTATCAACAATTTGCTAACCACCATTACTTGTGCTCAGCTTATTCCTAGTCTTCCTTTTTCTTGACTAACTTCTGAACTTTTAAGTTTAATGAGGTATCAAACACATGTACAACATCTAAAGCAAAGGGCCTTGTTCCTAAGTGGGATATCTGGATACTATGTCACTGATCATAACTACATCCAGTCAGCTTCTCCTCTGGTCCACAGAGAAAGTAAAAGGTTTTAAACACACCTTTGCAGCAAAACATCAGCCAGATCACTGCTAATTTTTACTGTAGTAATTTGTTGTGCTGGGTTAAAGCTATTACATAGCAGCTCCTTGGAATAAATATGTGTGTAAACTAGTACTGCAAGCTGCGTAGACAAATGTCAATTGTTTAGCATTCACGTTGGGTTCATGTTTAATGGTGAAACTGTCCAGGGGTCAATAAAATGCCTGTTTTGACTTCTTAGACCTAGTAGTCCCAAAAATTCATGCACGAGGAAGGAAGTGCATTTCTTCTGAGCATATAAGACTGATGAAAGTTGACCTTGTTTTAAACTCCTAAAAACAATTGAATTTTGCTTTCAGTCACACCTTACACCATAGTAGTATGCTAGGAACAGACAGTAGAGAATTCATGGTAGCTATAAGGAAATTTCAAATACAGCTTAAAATGGTTTAAATTACAACTAATATGACCATACAGGACAGCAGGCTGCACAACTACATCTAGACACTGCTAACATAACTGTCTGTAATGTGCTGTGTGGCCCAGGTTGACTGGGTGTGCATGCATGTGCAGAGGATCACTGGAGCTACCAGAAGTAAAAGCAAGGATGATGCAAAGAAGTAGCTAGACCAGGGATGGCAACAGAGTTGGAGAAACAATACTACTGAGAATACACTCCTTGTTTCAGGACTGTCCTGGCCTGTGTCTTTGGCTTCCCTCATAGGACTCCTTAATAACACACCCCCACAAGGAACTTTCTGGAGCCCCATTCTAGTACAAGAAATGCTTTTCTGGAACTAGAGTGGTGCTATGTATTCTGAGGGGGTGACCACACATGAGACAGACTTCCTGTTATGGTGTATTACTTTCACAGTTGATCTTACCTGGATTAATACTCTTCTACAGAGACCAGCTTTCACCAGAGATTTTGCAATCCAGCGAGCTGCATATGCTGCAGAACGATCAACTTTGGAGGGATCTTTCCCAGAGAATGCACCTCCACCATGGGCTCCCCAGCCTCCATAGGTATCAACAATGATCTTCCTGCCAGTCAGTCCAGCATCACTCTGCAGGACAAACAATTGAATACATTCCTGAGACACAACAGTTTACCCAATCCCATACTGGGTTATTGGGTACAGCTTTGTTTTGTATTTGCCAGATATGACTCATTGTTCACAGTGTTCGCCTTCACATGCAATTGTTCAGTGAATGAGGTTTATGTGACTGGAGCGTTTTTCAGAGATGCACTAAGCCATCTGTGCTGTGGTCACTTTTGAAGACTGACAAGAATGTGGCACAACAGTAAACACCACAAGTGTGCTCCCATCAAATCAGCAGCCATGAAACACTGTCTCTGGATTACTGGCCAATGAATTCACTCAGTAACACTTGATGGAGGCCAAGAATTTAGAGAGAGAAAAGCCTTCCTGAAAAACAGACCACATATGACCTAAAAGGTTAACAAGCTTCACTTGGGAAGCCGGGGCTTCATAAAGCTGCAGCTCAGTGCTGCCAGCACAAGAGTACTGAGAAATTCTTGCTGAGTTCACCCTAATGGTTCACTAGTGGCACAAGGACCACTTGGTACCACTTTTCTTTCTTCTTCCTGGCTGCCTGTGCTCCCAGTAATGGAGTCCCACCCTCTTGCATGGACTTTTGTCTGCCTCCTACACCTGATGAGCTGATCCAACTTGTTCAACCAGCACAGAATTATTGCCTTTCTGTCAGATTAGCAAAGCTGGTGACTGCAAGCTGATAAATGAACCCTAAAGTGTTGAGAAACTCCAGCCTGAAAGAGGATAAACTACATTAATCCACTAATTTTAAATCCCCAGATAAATAATACGGAAGTAAAGCTGACATTTATTCCTCAATGAAAGCAGTATCCCTCCATCATCCCAGTGTAGTCACACGCACACCTTGTAGTTTTAATCCTTCATTGGACACCTTGTAGTTTTAATCCTTCATTGGACTCTTTATACAAAACTAGACAGTTTCGTGTAACAAAACTTCTTACAGTTTCACAGCAATGCTTACCTATTACCAGCACCTGGAAAGCAGAACACATGTCAAATTCTAATGAGTATTGAGACATAATACATTAAGACCTGCCTTGAAATTTGTTCAGCTTTCTGAATAATTTCAATGTAGAAGATCAGATCTGTTGTTATTCCTGGCTCTGATTTTTACCGTAAAAGTGAAGAGATACATCCACTCAGGCATTTTCTCGTATAACTTAAGGGCTGGCTTTTGGTAATTTAAAATACTTTCTGGAAGAAGGACAAAGATCCAAGAATTGGATCTACACTTGGCTGTCCAAGCAGGTACAGCTTCAGTTTAGACGCCAGCTGTCCAGCAGGAAAACTCCAGTAGAAATGACTGAAGCTTCCTTAAAATGTATAGACTTCCTTCGTTAAAGGTATATCAGTTTACTACACTTTCGTTCAAGAGAACGTTTAGAAGCATGTGGCAAAGTAGAATCCATGTCTGTCCAAGGCTGTCCTCTTTCAAAGTGCCATACCTTAGGACCACCTTCTACAAACTTTTCACTTGGAAGGAGATGATAAATTGTGCCCTCATCAAGATACTTCTCTGGAATTACTTCTTTAACAACTTTCTCCATTAGCTCCTTCTGTATTTGTTGTAGAGGTATGTCCGGGGCATGATGCACTGAAATCACAAGTGTGTGCACTCGAATGGGCTCCACTGCGCCATTAATCTCCCTGTATTCCATTGTGACCTAGAGAGAAAAAAAAAAAAGACAGTGAACACTCAAGGCCAAGAGCACATTGAAAAATGAAAATGAACATCGCACTGAGTCTTCTGCAGCAAAAAATAAACAGATGAAGGGAAATGGGATGAAAAATGATGGATTGTTGCCTGTGCTTAAAATCACTCTAAAAAGAAAAAGTAAGAATACAGGAAGTACTGAAGTACCACTACCAAAAGTGTTAACTAAAGGATACAACCTGTATCACCACAGAGAACCAAAATAACAAGAAAGCTACAGAAGCCTAAGATTTTACTGTCAGATGCTAAAATTATTCATGGTTTGGCATGTTAACATAACTTCAAATAGTGAAACACCAAGGTAAAGCAAAAATAACTTTTGGAAGACCCTGCTGAAATGAGCAACTGTAGATCATGATATGATGGGGCTGTATCCTTTGCTACCTATTGCACAGCTTTTATGTACATGCAAGTATAAATTGGCATTGCTCCATCCATAGCATTGGTTTTCTTACAGACTAAGAAGACTCCTCTACTTTCCCACCCTTCAAAAACACTTGGACAGATACATCATAAAGAAATCAGTATATTCACGTGTTCTATGCACTGCTGACAAAAGGTAGGGACACAATCCATGTTGTGCTGCAACAAGTGCACCAGTATAACTCAATGCAGTTCATCCCCACTCAGCAACAGAAATTAAGACTAAACCACTTTGCTGTCTTGGAAACGCCACGGCTTTACGTTTCTCTCCTGCAGATTTCACAGCCTGGAAGACAGAGAAGTTACTGCCTTTGAGACTGCCAAAGTGCATCACTCTTGCAGTAGGCTCAGTGACTCATCCACTCAGCTCTGCAACACAGCTGTCAGTGGCTCTGACCACTGATCAGATATAGTATATATGAAGCTTGAATCAAGAACAGCCCTGTTTTAATTGAGAAACCATAGCACTATCCCAGTTCATGCTTCTGGAATGCTGACATTTATTCAGGAAAAAAACCAGCTGATTCTCAGTAATTTGCTAATCTTCTTAATCTCCAGGGGGAAAGAAGCCAAATACAAGTGTTATTTTTGAAGAAACCTGCTAAAAGATTGATAGAACGGTTTGAAGAAAATATGTGTGCTACATACAAATGTACCATATGAAACTCACACCACCTTGGAACGTGAAAATGGCAGCACCATTTTTGACAAACATGAATTCTGATTCTGTAGCAGACAAGGTAAATGATTTCTGTTGTTTCTCACCCTTACAATTTATGCATCTATGTTACGAACCTGTGTTTTCCCATCTGGTCTAACCCAGGGCCATGTTCCATTCCGTTCCATAGCCTTTATCCTCGCAGTCAGTTTGTGTGCCAGGAGGACTGTTAAGGGCATGCATTCTGCAGTTTCATCAGTGGCATAGCCAAACATCAAACCCTGCATTGAGAAAAAGGGAACTGCATTGAAAAACAGGGAAATAAGCCACTCCTTTCCATGTTCTCTTTTCATTTCTGCACCTGTCTTTGCCACATAGTGCTTTAAAACCACCCAAGGCTAGAAAGAGACAGCAGTAACATGCAGGGTGAATACACTTTGTCATATAACCAGCCTGAAATAACATTTATGTACCTGCATACGCAAGAATCAGAGTAACAGCAGGGTTTGGTTCCCAAGAATCCGTAAGAATCCACTGCAAAGGCTTAATAGATATATAGCTCATAAAAACTGCTCAGTCTTCTCCCCACACATGACAACTAAAATAACAGAGCATTTGATGCCTAAGAAGTAAAACCTGGCTACCCAAAGGACTTGAAAGACCAGAAACTGTCATCAGCTGATAAATATACATATAGACATCTTAACTGTAGCTCTATCCAGTAAGGCCACTGGATATGGGAAAAGCCTTTCACTGAAATTAGTGAGGGCCATGTTACCTTTTTGCACTTCTGGTGATTGAGAAAGTGGACAGTGTTTAGCTTTTAAGGAAAGGCTCTGGTCCAGTGCAATTTTAACTACTTGTGCATAAACTAAATTTGAGTAAGGGCCTGGAATTAAGTCCCATTACCTGATCCCCTGCACCAATGTCATCATCACTCTTGCCATGGGAGACAGCATGCTTGATCTCTTTACACTGTTGTTCTAAGGCCACTAAAACTGTGCAAGTCTTATAGTCCAGTCCTAGTGAAGGGAATTTTGTAAAGTTAGGTCATACATTCTTGAGAGTTCACAAATTGCTAGAGAAGCTTTTAGGGATTATCTACTTATCTTGACTAAAACTTTTAAAAGGCTAAGCATGTAAGCTTCCTATACTAGGTTTTGCATTGCTAATAGAAGCAGACAATCAGCACATTTATGTAACAATCTCAGGATGTGGGCAAGTTAGTGGTGTTAGTTGAAACTTGAGCTCTCGAAACTGAGAGGATAAGTACAATCCTCCAAGCTACCCCACCAAAGCTTGTTACATTGCTTATGATGACCAGGGTTCAAACCATTTTAGGTTTTAAAGCTGGAAGAGGAGAGTGGAAAATCTTACCAGAAACTGGTATTCAGTTTTTCTTGTACTAGGTTCTAGGGTTCAACAGAATTAGAGAAAAGCCGTATAGGTCATGCATGAAAAGGGAAGACTGAAAGGGAATAGTCATTTAAGGGGTTCAACTGCTGAAAAGAAGCTACTTTGGGAAATACGTTAAGAATACATAAAGAGTTCCCTTGGGTGTGAACTTCAAGTTTCATAGGCGTATGCGCCCCAAGGACAAGGAACATCAGTGTTAAAGCTTTCACTGTGCAAACCTGCAGATGTAACCACCCTCTGATGTTCGTGCAAAAACTAGTTCTTCTGCATCAGAGAAGCAAGAGGTACCTTGCACTTTCAAAAATAAGTCTTTTTCAAGTATGCCAACTAAAAATAGCTCCTTCAGCACCAGGCACTGAAAAATGCGTATCAACATCTGTGCAGTTTTCTCCTAGGCTTGGATACACATTTAATTTTGTTTTCTGGAAGATCATAAAAACGTGACTTTGGCCACATGCAGAACACACCCAGGAATGAACACATGAAGGATCTCGCTCACCTTTGGAAGAGTCATCATACCCTATCCTCTTAAGGGTCTCTCTTACAATTTGTTGGTAATCTACTGTAGCCTGGGATGTGATCTCTCCACAAAGCAAAATCATTCCAGTTTTTGCTACACACTCTGCAAAAAGAAAGATAAAACTTCAGAATTTTACTGCTACTATTTTACAGTTACACAGAGAGATCCTGATGATGGTTCTATGAACAAAGAATTACTCACAGAGGAAACATGGAGTAAAGCCTTTGCATACATACGGGTCTGTCCACAACTACTCTTCAGCTGTTATGAACATTAAAATGCCTGCATGGGTGTGTGTGTGTATGTTTTCATCTTACCCAATTACCCTATCTCCACAGTGTCCAGCAGCAAATGTCTGTAAGAACAGATCAAGTATATGGTGCCATTTCTGCAAATACTTTTCTGATCTCTAACAATTTCACCTCATGGTCTTCCTGAAGCTAAAGGGACATCGTTTATTAACAGATGGCATTACCAGTCTTCGACAGGTTTTTGTTACAGTAATTCACCCAGATGCCCCTGGCAACCAGGAAAACTTTTAGTACCTACAGGATCCTGGAGCAAGAAACTATGTAACTTCAATACAAACTTTGTGCAGGATCATTTCATATTTTATTTCATTGTTTGTTTCAAGCTTCTACCTGGCCTCCAACCTTTTCCGTTTTGTGTTAAAGCTTATAGCAAACAATCACAAAAAATTCACAATAATACAACCTACAACTGCATAGCTCTATTTCACGTGTAACTCAATCCTCTTTTTTCCAGACTGAGGAGGCCTAGGCTATTCACTGAAAGACATTGTGTGGCTATGATCATATTCGTTACTCTTGCCATACAATCTTACTATAGCCTTTTGGGGATGGGGAAAGAGAAACAGATTGCACACAGTATTCAAGACAAGCAACCATGGATTTATATGGCTTAACGATGTTCTCAGTTCCATTTGTCATTCCTTTCCCAGCAAGCCCTAACAGTCAGCTTGGGTTTTTACTGCTACTGAGCACCAACACTTTGCACAGAAACTTATGTCTATTACAACCCCAAAATCTCTCTTCTGAATGCTTGCCGTGAACTGGAAATCTTACTTTCTGTATATGGGGATAAGATTGCTCCCTTCTCCCTTGCATTAGCCTACACTGAATTTCATCCATCGCTTTTATCATCCTGTCATTTGAATAATTTTATTTTATTCCAAGATTAATTACTACAGGCAGGAATATGCTATAAAGTTGCACAACTATGGACTGCAGCAGCTAGCTTTAACTGGCAGCTTAGTTTAGCTAATCCAGACAAGCAGTCGAGAGCTTAACATGGGGCAAGCTTTCTCTGTTTGTCTGCAAGAGGAATTAGTCTATATTGAACTATTAAGCTACATACTAGCTGGCATGGTATCTCTGAATTACACTGTGGGCACAGTGAGAGTCCATAATAATACAGTAGCCCTAAATATATACAGCACATCAACCCCAGGTAGTGATACCACTACAGCACCGCTATTTTTACACTCACTCTTGTGCCCCTGCTGTACTGACCTGCAGTGCTCTTCCTTTCCTAGCAGACCACCTATAGATACAAGGCATGTGTGGTGCTGTGAATACTGTGCTGAGGGAAGAGACACTATATTACAGGTGTGAGGCAGAGAAGAACGGGACTCAGCTTTTCTAGTGTGGTCACTGCAAAAAGGGGAAGCCTCTCTGGAAGAACACAAAGTCAGGGAACTGGGACTTAGAGAGATGGAAGAACAAGGCTGCAGCCACCACCAACAATCCCTAGAAACTCTGACAGGCCCATTACAGCCAAGCAAAGCTTGATGGTGATGCAAGACTTCATGGCATGATGATGCTTTCTTAGTATCGGGATAAGAAAGGTTCAACTTGCTACCTTTGACTGCTTTCTATCCTGACTGAAATTTAATTTAATTAAGTACCCCCATCTGCTCTACCCAAGAGGAAGTTACCATATAAGATTTTGGGCTCTTCACTGGGGTGTGATTTCTTACATGTTTGTCTCCTCAAAATAATATTTTGAACACCATTAGTAGGTAGAAACTTCCACCTTCTCTTCTGTAGTGTTTTGGTTTATGGTTAGTTAATTTTGTCTCTTGATTCTTATTTGTTGAGCACACTGGGAGGGACTTTTTTTGAAGAAACCATTTGGCTTCACTTAATCAGAGAGGAAGTAGAATAAATATTCTGCCTTGTGGTTTATGCTACTTGCCGCCAGTATTCTCCCAATTGACTTTACTGCTACCTGTTTGTTGGCAGCACAAAGAGAGACCAGCTCTGTCCTGAGGTAGTGCCAGTGTAGTAATTTGGAACTTTGCATGCAAAACTTGCTGATCCTAAAAGTCCAAGCAGCAAATAAAACTCAGAGAACCACAGATATGTTTTTCTCCTGGTAGATAGAATCTAGTTTCAACATCTCCATAAAGTATATAAGTACATTTCATAGTTTTGTAAAATACAGTGTTACAGTGACCTAGTACTTACATAATGCTTTGAGATTTTTCTCTGAAACTTTGAGGCAAGGCCTGCACACTAAACAGAAATTCTAATTTTCACCCGGTAACCCCTATATTGCATGCCATAACTCCTTTCCATTCTCCAGCCCACTACTTTTTTAGCAAACTCTGTGTCTGGTCAACCAAATTATCTTTTCCAGACTTACACTTTAATACTACACTCAAGTTTTCTGACTCCAGTCAGAAGTTTTGGTATGTTTTTTCCCCCAACAGATTACAGAAATCAGGAATTCATCTATGTAATCATGTCACATCTCAGTCTTCTTTTTTGGTAAGAAAAACTGATCATGTTTCTCACATCTCTTATGACACATTTTTCAGTCCTTGTCACTTTTGCAGCATTCCTCTGTTACCATCTCTAGCTTTTCGGCAGTTTTGGAAGCATAAACGCCTGTGATACTGAAATACATGCTTCAGCAAGGCTAATACATACGCTAAACCCTTGTCCCCATGTCTCCTCACTGCTCATATCTATGCATCAAGGATCACATGAGATTTGTCAGATGAAGAGTCATATTAGAGCACTGTATTTGTGGGATGCAGCTCATCCTCTGTGCTGTAGCTATGGCCTCAATGGCTTGTTCTAAGAACAAAATGACTGCACTCAGAGAGCTCTTTCTGTGTCCATTTCCCATTCTGTGTTCATTCCCCATTGGCAACCCAGCTAATTCCAGTTTGGTGGTATGTTCTTAGCCTCTGGGAGAGGAGGTGTTGCTAGTGACAACGTCCATGTAGAACACAAGGTAGTCCTAACAGGAAGTCCCAAGAAAAAGGCCAGCTACTTTGATCAGAATCACATTCAAATGAACTGTGCACTTATCTTCCTGTGAACCAAGGGCATCACCCTGCTTCTGTAAAGGCACAGTAAATATCTACTTAGCACTTCTGGATTTTGAATTTTATTAACACTGTTTTACTCGTTCTATCAAGAAATGCATCTTGACATAATCTTTCCTCAGTTCTCTGTTACACTAAATTTTTTAGGTTCCTTGTCACCATTAGTTTTGTCAGCCACAGCTTTGCCTGATACCACTGGCTTCTCCTGATCTACCTCTTACATTTCACCATTTTTAATTTGTACTGGCGTACTACATATTTCCTTTTCTCTCTTCATTTTTTGTAGCTTTCTTCCTGCCTTCCCTTCTTCACTGAGTCGGTATGCCAGAGTTGGCCTCTTGACCAACTGGAAGTGTTGACTGCCAGCCAGCTATTGCAAGAATTTTTGATCACAGGATGTTATATCAACATGGGTTACTTGTTCTACGTCATTAATCTGTCTTTCTGAATGTATTGTACTTACCACAGGCAACCTTGGCATCTGGATCAATACTGAGATGAGCATCTAGAACAGCATCACTTATCTGATCACACATCTTATCTAAAAGATAAAAATAAGATAGATATAACATTTCTGTTTGTGATCACAGAATCATAAATCATTTGGTTGGAAAAGATCTTTAAGATCATCGAGCCCAACCATGCTAAACCATGTCCCTTGGCACCTCATCTACCGGCTTTTAAATACCTCCAGGGATAGGGACTCAACCACTTCGCTGGGCAGCCTGTTTCAATGCTTAACAACCTCTTCTTTGAAAAAATTTTTCCTAATGTTCAACCTAAACCTGCCCTGGTGCAACTTCAGACCATTTCACCTCGTCCTATCATCCGTTTCCTGGGAGAAGAGACCAGCACCCACCTCACTACAGCCTTCTTTCAGGCCATTCTAGAGGGCAATAAGGTCTCCTCTCAGTCTCCTCTTCTCCAGGCTGAACAGCCACAGTTCCTTCAGCCGCTCCTCATAAGACTTGTGCTCCAGACCCCTCACCAGCTTTGTGGCCCTCCTCTGGACATGTTCCAGCAACCCAACATCTTTCCTGTAGTGAGAGGCCCAAAACTGCACACAGTATTCGAGGTGCAGCCTCACCAGCACCTAGTACAGGGGCACTATCACTTCCCTACTCCCGCTGGCCACACTATTCCTGATACAGGCCAGAATGACATTGGCCTTCTTGGCCACCTGGGCACACTGCTGGCTCATATTCAGCTGGCTGTCAACCAGTACCCCCAGGTCTTTTTCCACCAGGCAGCTTGCCAGCCACTCTGCCCCAAGCCTGTAGCGCTGCATGGGGTTGTTGTGACCAAAGTGCAGGACCCAGCACTTGGCCTTGTTGAATCTCACACATTTGGCCTTGGCCCATTGATCCAGGCTGTCCAGGTCTCTCTGCAGAGCCCTCCTCCCCTCGAGCAGATCGACACTCCCACCCAGTTTGGTGTCATCTGCAAACTTACTGAGGTCACATTCCATCCCCTCATCCAGGTCATTGATAAAGATATTAAACAGGACTGGCCCCAGCACTGAGCCCTGGGGGACACAACTTGTAACCAGCTGCCAACTGGATTTAACTCCGCTGACCACAACAAAATGCATGTGCCCCTTTTATTCACACAGGCTACAGTGATCTGAATGTCATATGAGATTTGCTTATGGAGGTGCACATGTCTCTTCTTCACTGGCATAATTTTCAGAATCTGAATCAGCAACCAGCAGTACCTCTGTGCTTTGTTTCTAGTGTTTTCCCCAATCAAGCTGAAGCTAAACATTTAACTGTACATTTCATAAGCATTTGCCAAGTAAGTCCAACAATTTAGAGGCTTGAAAAAAAGCAGAACAACAAAAAAAGCACCAACTTGATAGCTGTAAAGCCTCTCTTCAGCTATTTGTGCTATATTTATCCCCAGCTCAAGCATTATCTTGCTGAAATTTCTTGCTATTGTATTTACTCAGAGAATCAGAATCCTGGTCAGTTACTTAAGTTATATTGCACCTTCACTGATAAAAAACTGACCACAGTTCGAAGACACAAGGACATAAGATGAAAGACAGAAACATCATGTGGTCATAATTTCAGACCCAGAAATTATTTGTGCGACCAAGTATAAAATCAGTAATGGCAAGTTCCGAAGTTTGTCATCTGGCTAGTTTGTGAACAACCCTGAGGCAAAAGGAGTCCTGAAGATTGCGGAACGGTTGATAAGTTTTATTGCCTCCAGCTGTTTGCACCATTACAACATACAGTGCAGTGTTTTGAAGCAAACAAGTGGTTGCGGTGGTTTGTGATACGATGCTACACACTGCAGTGGTCTTTCAGCTGTTGGACTGTTTGGACTGTTCACGAGGTGCTGGACAGACAGACTAATATAATTGGTCTCATGCTGTGCCATTCCCACCTAATGAGTAAGCATCCTAAGAATACAGATACACAAGAAAAATTCACTGCAATCCTTCAGTGTTTGACATCACCCTCATTTTCTCACTACTAGGTTTTTGGTCTCTCCTTCTACTATGGAAAAACCAAGAGGTAAAGTTATTTTTAGTCAACATTAAAATGCTTCATTTGAAGGTTCCTCCATAAAAGGAACTGTTTCTACCTTTAGGGTAAATCTGAGTCACTAGTATGTCTGCTGGAGGTCCAAACTTCCTCCAGTCTATCAGTTACATAGCTTCTAGATACATATTTGTGTAAACAAATCTGTGTGAAAAATAGCTGAATATAATGAACAGCAATTGGAGTTGAAGTATTGTCTTGCAGTCCCAGACCTGGAAAATACAATGGTTTTGTACAGCCTACAGCATATGTAAATTTGTGTTAGGGACAGCAATGTGGCAAAAGAGGCATATGTAGTATTACAGCAGTATCTAGAACGCAGTTCTGATGCAAATCAGTGCTTAGTATTCCAAACGTTTCAGAGATTCAGAGTTCAATGATCACCTATAATAAACATGTGCGTAAAGTAATATTATTTCATTACAGAATTAAAAATGAAATTCTAATTCTAGTATATGTGGCAGCTCCAAGTCTACCTGTAGAAGACCTCTCCATGCTTTTTTCTCTCAAGCAAAAGTTTAAAATTGTCTATGCCAGATTATATTGCATACTAAACAAATAAGACAAATCCTTGTCAAGCAAACAAAGCCACTAATCTGAAGTCTATTCAAAAAATTAATCCGTTCTTTCTTTTCTCCATTGGGGGAGGTATGATTGAACTTTCATCAGCTAGCATTCTTCAGTGCAAGTACTAATAAAAGCAAAGATTCAGTCAGCATTTTTACTTACCAGAATGTCCTTCAGCAACAGATTCTGAGGTAAAAAGAAATCGTTTTTCTTTTTTTGAGGTATGAATTGACATATCTTAGTATCTTTAGCGAGCCTGCAAATGAGAAAGACCCAAAGTGGACTACAGAACAAGCACAGGCAGAGGGTGAAGTGGAAAGGTTAATGTATCTATGCAAATAGCTGATGTAATTGCTTCTGCATGTTTGTTCCTCAAAAGTTCAATAGATTAAGACTGTGTGGATTTTACAATGCACTGCTACAGAAGCTCCTTTCATAAGACTTTGGTGTTTAGTTAACCTTGGTCCCACTAAACTCTGCAGAAGTTTTATCATTATGTGAAACCTCAACACAGCCAAGCCAGAGTTCAGTGCTTTTGCACACTTCCCCAAGCCTCCATTCTTACTCTTTCATCCAAGTGCTAACTAAAAAGCACTTCAAAATAGTAACAGAGTACACAGATTTTAACTCAATTTGTAAGGGCAAACGACACTTTCTCCTAGGCATAATATCCATACATTGTACTCCACTGCAGTAGTGAACTGTGCAGAAACGTCTCTCTCTTTATGCAAGAACAGATGTTTGTAACAGCTCCAGGTGGCAAGCTGTGCTCTTCTTCCTGAATACTATTTGTGTCAGTGGCCAAGTGAGGAGCTGTAGACCAACCAACAGCATGCTCTGTAGAAACAGCAATGAAGACAGTGTGTTCACTGTAAGTTACCTTGAATTCTGAGACTAAAAGCTATGCCCTAGCTCAGTAAGTGTCAAACTCGTGAATGGTTAGGATTTTGCCATTTACAGACCCTTTTTCTCCTCCCATCTGCCTTGATGAAGAGATAGTAGTAGGAAATGGCTGGACTCAGGTATCTAAACTAAGAGAAGAAGCACTGCCCCTTTGGAAGCACAGTTTGCCCTTGGCTTATTTCAGAAGGCAGTGCAACAGCACTCGGGAGCACCTGAGCACAGCACAGTGTTGCAAAGCTACCTAGGAACAACAACTGGGCATCCGGTCTTAAAGACCCTCGTCCTGCTGAGCAGCTCTACACTGCTGCAATACATTATGCTGAGGTCAGCTTATCTAAATCAGCAGTCACTGCTGAAAACATTGCTCTATAACCTAAGCATGTTAAAGTGTAACAGGAGGGGTACTGAGATGCAGGTACAAACAACTTCAGCTACAACTGAAGGCTTTACTACGGGCCGTCACAAGGCAAACCACATCCCCTACCAGGCCACCAGCAAACCTCTCACAAGTGTGTTCATTCTGCAAAGAAGTCTTCGCTGCTAGGAAGCAGTGCACCTTCACTTCAGGAAGCTTCCCAGTAGTGAGGTATACGAGGTAATAAAAGCAGTAATGAAGGCAAAGCACTTAAACAAACGAGTCAAAGCTAGCCCTCAAAAAAAATAAAGCAAAATTGTATTTCAGCTGCAAGAATGACTGGAGAAGGCACTGCCTAACTGTGGTAACTCAACTAGTAGCTAGTGTGCTGCAACAGGCCAGCCACCTTCGCTGAAAACCACTACTCTGCAGAGTGATAGGCGAAGAGGTGACTCGGTTTCAGGAAAGAGACCATCTGCACCCCTTTTGGTTTTGCCTTTTTTTTTTTTTTTTTTTTATCCTAGGAACAAAAGTTTTCAGCACATAATACCAAAACCCACCAGTTCTCAGAGGACAATGATTGCTTGAGTATGTGTGAAGGACAGCAATAAAGAGGAAGACTTTAAACCACAGCTAATGATTATCAGAATTGCCCTAAGAAATCCATTAACTCATCTATTTCATTGCCTTTCTTTAGCTTCAGAATTTATTATAATACAATAAAAAATTAAACTAGACATACAGAGAGATTTGTGTGCCTGAAAGTATTCCAAGTCTGTGTGATAAATATTCTTTGAGCTCAAGCTACATGTTCCACAAAACACTTCATACAAAGCATAGAAAAGCATTCATATGAAGAATTTCAGTCTCATCCATCATGAATTCCTATTATGCTGCATTCTAAAATATTTGTGCTTTACATTGTGTCTTATACACTGTTCTGAATCAACATATGCTCCTCAGAATGTTTTATAATGTAGGGCATACATATACTCCATCCCAGCCCTGAATGTAAAAGGAAAAAAAAAAAAGACAATACAAAGAACAGTCAACCTTTGTAAGGGAGAAACCAAAAGAATGGGGACAAGAGACACCAGAGCAGAAGGAAGAGGCACCAGGGCGGAAAAGACAAGAAGGCAGGAGGATGCTGGAGAAAAAGGAGCCACGTGAGAAGTTGCCTGAGCTGGACTAGAGCAGCGAGACCCACGAAGGAGCAGGCACACAAAAGAAGATGCAGGGCAGGTACGCCTCTGAGGGGTCTGCAGACAGTGGAGGAGCCCACGCTGGAGAACTGGAGACAGAAACATGGAGGAGTGAAAGAAAAGCAATCACAACATAATGAGACTGAGGCCAGGAAGCAGGGAGGAGAGGTGTCCAGAGAGAATCTGGCATGTTTTCCCTAAGTCACTTTTTGTCTTCTTACTAGAATTGGTAATTAAAAGTTTTTTAGTTGGCAAAAATTTAAGCCAAATTCCTTGCAACAAAACTGTTCCGTTGCCTGTGACAGTGGGGTTGTGTTTTACAAGGCACCTGTCCCAGCCAAGATTCCTCTATCATGGGTGAATTTTGTTCAAGAAATATCAACTGCTTCTGTCAGACTCATGTTTTCCTTTGCCCCTTTTGCTGATGTTTCATGATCAAGTGTAAAAAACACCATCAGTGTCGCCAGATTCAGAAAGCTGCTATGGAAAACGAAGAGGTGAAATGGAAGACCTTTTAAAAATGGGATCACTTCAGCAGCTGAACTTTGAATATCACTCTGCATCTCACGACCTAACAAAAAAGTTACTGTTGGAGCCACAGAACTGTATCTGTCCCAGCTGAAATCTGTGCATATTCTGCTTATATTCAGCATACCAATTCAGTATTTCAGCCTAAGCCTTTTTGTTTTACAAATTTATTTTTGCTGCCATTCTGCTGTTTTCTCTCATCATCTATAAAATACTTCAGTTCAACTCACAGAGATTAGAGAGAGTGATTTCTGAGATCTCACAGTTGCAGTGGCTCTTGTGTCTCAGTCACTTCTGTAATCGGCTCAATAACGCATGCTCCAGCTCAGACCACTCATGTCAGCCCCAAAGGAAAATGCCGTTCATTCGCACACCTGCCTCAGGAAACTTCTGCAGAACAAATGCTGTTCTTCCTGGCAAAGGTATTCAGACCCTTCTCTCTGGACTGTTTCTGGCACTCCACCAAGACCTCCCAAGGTGATTTCCCAGCCCGTTCTTTGCTAAGGTCCACTGTGGGTGCCTGATGAGACCCTCCCCATATGCATGTTACAAAGCTACTTGGCTGAAGCTTTTTCCCAGGTGAGGCCTCCCAGCTTTTTAGCTCTTTCCTCCAGCCTCTTCTTGCTTCCATGTGCAGCCAGGATTCACAACTTTTCTCACATTCTTCTTTCCAGGAAGACAGCTCAAAGTTTCAGGCATATCACGCTCTCACACTGATCGGTTCTGGCATATAGGCAGGTCCACAGCACCCACCCACTGCAAGGAGCAGACCCCAACTGATTAAAGAACTGACTTGCACCAGAGGTAAAAGAAACACCTCTCTTAAGCAGAGTCTGGGGTAGAGCCGAGTGATTTCCACAGGTTCTTCCAACTATTGACTCGATTGCATTGTATTATTTCCAACTCCTACTTATGAATTTCAGAGATTTCCACAGCAGTTCCAATGTATCTGCTGGACCTTTCCTTCCCAAAAGTCTACTAAAATTCATTCAAATTTGTGGTATGTACTCAACTGAGTATTTCTGACCTGGCCTCTGTACTCTTAGCTTCAGTTGATACAGGAACTGAGGGAAATCAGTTACCGTTTACTGGTGGCAGCATCCCGTACTACAAGAATGCCGTATCATGATGTTTTTCAGTCTAGAACATCTTGGATATCTAATTCCCACCAGGAAGCTGAGCTGACTGTTTATAAATTAAACGGCATTCTCAACATATTTTCAGATTGGAATTTGTCCAAACCTAGAACATTTTCACTCCCTCGGAGTGTGTTTTTGCTCTCTGCAATTTGAGTTCTTCACATGACATTTGGATTCTTGGCTTCTTTGGATTTCTCTTATGAAATCCATTATTTATTGAATATTCCTTCTAGGCTGAAACTGAAAATATGAAGTTTACGATGACAAAGACACTGCCAGACAAAAAATCTATGACAAATTCGGGTATGTTTCCTCTGAAGACCCTGATTCTCTTTCAGTTACATCAGAAGACTTTAAAAATGCAAATATTTCTCTCCAATATAACCGCTTCGCAGCAGCATTTAAATCACTTCAGTTAGAGCACAACTTGACTGGAAACTATAAGCCCTATACATTGCAAACAGGTTATCATGACAGCGTGAACTAAACGCGCCAGCAGAATAAAAACCCGGACATAAACCAAAAGACGGCTTCACGGCTCCAAGGGACAGAAAAGGGCACATAAGATGAACGCCAAATGGTTTCAGTTGATGGGGCAAGGTTGGTTAGGCTGGCAAAAAGCAGCACAAAGCAAAATAAAACCAAAATTAAAAAAGCAAAATAGAAAAGGTTACTTTGGGATTCAGATACGGATTTTAAAATATGATTTATAAACAAAGCTCAGAATCTCCAGACGCTACAGCCCCTAGTAAGCGTAATCTGTGGCACATACGCATTAGCTGTCAAGGGCTTTGGTGGGCCGTAACACACCGGCAGATCATTTGTGACACCGTTTCTTCCCCCGGAGCCCACCAACCCGCGTCACCTCTGTCAGCCATCAACTTTGAGATTTCACGGCACCAAGGCAGCCGTTCCCAGGTGCCCGCCACGCCGCCCTGCCCTCAGGTGCATCCAGCTGTTCCCAGGGGCAGCCGTG